TTGTGACACTGTGTAAAATATGAATAAAAACAGAATGCAGTGGTTTGCAAATTATTTCAGTTTAACTGATGATACTACAAAACTACAGTTTTAGTAACAGATCATTTATAAGGTAATTTTTATTTCAGCTGCAAAAGACCAGAAAAGCTTTGTAATGTTAAATAGTTAACATTTAATTAGTAGTAAAAACTTGTCTTTCTCTTGTTTTCACTTCAATACACTGTGAATTTTAAATGAACTGGATGTTATTCTCATTTTAAGAAACCTCCACACTTTATTCTAAACTAAGCTTCAGAGAACAACTTGTATTTCTTATTTAAAAGCCATGGAGCTGTTATAGACTTGCGAGAAGGGAGCTGGGTTTGTGTGAACTTGTTAGTCTTTGTTCTTTCCCTCTTCCTTAGGTTTTTTGCATATTTGTCACACTTAAATGTTTCAGTTCATCACAGATATGTTATTATTAAACAAAATTAACCCAAGTAAATTTAAAATAAAGCCTTTAAATTAGCTTATCTTTTACTAAGGGAAAAACCTATCCAAATCTTTGTGACCCTATGTGAATAAGTAATTTCCCTCATTAAAATAATACCTCATTTTACCAACAAGAACTGTAACCAAGCTTTTACAGTGACTTAAGTCTCATATTGCTGTGGAGGCGTTTTGGACCACTTTTCTTTGGAGTATTGTCATAATTCAGTCATAATTCAATTTTTAGCCATTCAGAATAGACTTGCTGGTATGTTTTGTATCATTGTGCAGGGCACAAACTGATAGCTGGAAGTTGTCCTTCAGGATTTTGAGGTAGAGAGCAGAATTCATGGTTCCATCAATAACAGCAAGTCGTCCAGCCCCACACCATCATGCTACCACCACCATGTTTGACTGTCGTCAGTGCACTCTTGGATTAATTTTGGTAGGCCGGCAACTCCTGGGAAGCTTTACCACTGTTCCAGTTGTTTTCCATTTGTGGATAATGGCTCTCACTGTGGTTCTCTGGAGTCCTCAAAGCTTTAGAAATGACTTTGTAACCCTTTCCACACAGTTAGATGTCAATGACTTTGTTTCTCAGCTGTCTTTTAGATCGCAGCATGTTGTTTATTTCACATTCCAGAATTTATATATATGAATGGAAAATATTGCATTTCTATTGTAATGAACTATTCCAAGTATTTCACTGTAAATATTTAGAAAATCCAGCTTGAAGTATGACTTGTATCACATGTCTCATGTCACCTAAAGACGGTCTGTATCTTTGTTTTTTTCTTTTTTTATTCATTTTTTAGACAAAAGTTGTAGATACACGACAGAAATGACTGATTAGCATTAACATTTACAGACAACCTCTGTTCAACACGTCTGGCTTTTGACTGTGTTGCCCTTCTGAAAAGCTCACCAGGTGTCCTCCCCTTGCCACACTGCTCCCCAAACAACCACTCATCTGCTTCCTTTAATGTCCGTGGGGCTGATAGGACACACTCATCTGACACGCTCGCAGCCCAGTCATCCCAAGCTGTCATTAAAGCATAAACCTCTACCTAAAGCTTTAATCCTCCTATCAGAGAGGACCTGGACTTCCCCAGTACCACAGCTCACTAACCTGGCAGTGAGTGCCCTCAGGACATCTGCTGATCTTGACTGGCCCCAGTGCACTGCATAAAAGGGCAACAAATTTTCCAACCTGAAAGCTAAAAAGTTGTTTTGTTATTAGATATGCAATGCCACAGTGGTTCGACAAGGTGCAAAATGTCAGTATTCTTCCCTTGGAACTGACCTTATACTAAAGAATGGAAACAAGCTGCTTTAGCACTTAAAAATATATAAAATTAATAAATAAATATGAGGGGAAACATCAGGAGGGCGCTGAGTGCCTCCTTTGATGTTTGCCTTTTATTTAGCTTTTCTCATATAATCACATTTATTACTTTAAATTTAGGAGCATAAAAATGAACTTGTAATGTATTTTCAAAGTGTCATTATTTTTCGAATGTATGGAAAAAAGACCTTTGGTCTGCACTCACAAATGGGTCTGTTTTAAGTGTACAAAGATCTCAGCATTGTAGGAAACATAGGACGTCATAAAAAAAAAACATAAAAGGCAAAAGCCAGCAGGAGTGATTTCACCAAATCAGTCCAGCCCCTTATAGACAACAGTGGCAGTATTGTTATGAATAATGTACATATGTGGTATTCCCCATATAATCAGACCTTCTAATTCATTCATTCATTCACTCATTCATTCATTTAAATGTGATGCTTTAAAATTACAAAACCTTTTCTACAGGATTTGGTAGTTGTCAAGCTGGAGACATTAAGTTGTGCAGCTCACCAGGATTAAACTAATACAGTGCATATAATTCCCCGTTGCTTCCAAGTTTTCCATGTTTGGGATCACTCTTGGTTCACACATTTTCATCCTTTGATTTACAAGTCTGCAAAGGTGACGAAGAATCCAATGTCAGGTCTCAGTCACTGATGAAGGCAGCTTTCACATTTGGTGTGAATGCAAACACAACAACCAAAAAGTGTGAACAGAAAATAACCCCTTTTTTAAAATGAAAACTCACAGGCATTTCTTGTTGTGTCAACGTTTTTTAAATCATTTAACACAGAAACATCTGTGTTTACTGACATCTTTAAAATAAAAGTTGGAGTTTAGGAACATACGGTACAGAAGCTGAAGCTGGGATGATCTTGTTTATAAAACTGGGAAAGGAAGAACTGATGTGCATTACATATATTACTGTGGGGATTACCTGTGCCTGCAGGGTGTCCTAGCTTTGAGAGCGCAGCTTAAGACTTACCCACCAATGTAGCATCGCACCCGTGTAGCATTGATGGACGGCCTAAAAAGCCACGGGGACCTCTAGTGAGGTGCCTTATTAACTGTAGCCTCACGCAGCACCTTCTGGAGCCACACAGAACTTTGTTGTTTGCTCACACACCTCTGTTGGATTAATTCTTGATGGAGTTCTCCTTTAGAAAAATGTATGCAAATAGGCAAAACACAAGACGGCTGAGACGTACATTCATCAGTTTGACAGCGCATTTGCAACACAATGAAACATGCTGCAAATACTGAGATGCCATTACAAAAGGCAAACCAGTTAAAAAACAATGCTACACACGTGTCTTCAGACTGTTTGTTTGCAGACGCAGGCCACTGAAGGAAGCACAACCACGAAACAGACACACTGAGGTGCTTTTGAAAAGTGCTTTATTCAGCTACATTTGTAAGCTGTGTCCAACTCAATCTTCACCTTTTTCGTTATACCCTGTGAACTTGTAAGGTTACACAGCGCAGAGCTTCATATTTTAGAATCAGTATGGAGACCAAAACATTAAAATTTGGTTTTCAGAAGAAAAGAAAAAGAAGACCCAGAGTGTGCAATACAGCATACAGTACAAACAAGGGTTTCATTCCAGCCATTTTATCATCGAGTATTTGTTCAATGTTTAAAATGTCTTTGCGCTTAATTGTTGCATGCACAACACCCTTACTTCTAATATCTGCACACTTATCAGTGTTAAGACTATAGGGGGTATATAGAATCATTTCAAACCTCATTTAACACTGAACCATACCCCTTTCCGAAGCTCAAATTGCTCACCATGGAGCAGCAGAATGGCTCCAGACATTCATTAGCTTAATGAAAACAGGCCACTCTTCTCCTACCACCCAGCGAGCGGCTTCCCGATGTAGCCACAACGACCATCTGCTCTCCAGCTCCCTGCCAGCTATAGGATAGTCCTGTCAAAGCAGCTGAAGAAAGGCATCCACAAAGGCGCCTTAATCATTCAGATCAGAGGACAGGCAAGGACAGCAGATTTTTTTTTTCTTCATATACACATCCCCTGGCGCCTCAAAATCCTGGTTGTGGCATTCACTTGTGGTGTTAATGATGTTCATTAAAATAAGTCAGCCCGGCACAAGATAGATGGAAAATTAGTGTCTGTTTCATAAATTGACGGGACACTTTAGGTTGAATAAGCTGAGCGAGCAGTTATTGGAGTTGCGTTGCAGCAGCCGCACACAGCTGGCAGTAAGGTTATGAGCTCTTCTCACAGTAGGAGAACCTGCTTTGTGAAAAGGTTAATGTCATTTTAGCGCTGGACAGAGTGTGTTGCAGTAGGCGGCTGACCACCTGTTCAACTCCGGAGGTGGTCTACTTTTAATCTCACCTAACAGGAAACATTTGAAAGTCGAAGCTGGGTTTTTTAACAATTAAAAATTGTGTGTTAAGTAGTGTTAATAGTCATCCCCACCCACGTTTTCAAAAACTGCCAGACTCACTGCAGTCACGTTATGAGTTTTACCTTTTAATAACTGGTAATCTCAGCAGTGTTGTGGCTACCCAGAGTTACTTTTCTCAGTATGAACACTAGCTGGTGCACAGTGAGAGGGAAATGATAGCCCCAAGGCTTTAATCTAATAGTTTGTCATCAGGATAGTATTACTTAATTTCCCACTGGGAAGAAAGTCATTATTTCTGACTTTATCTCAGCACTGACCTCTGGAACAGTCTCAGGAATATTATTGGTTTGAGTCCATGTTCCCATTCGTTTCCTTTCTCTTAGCATGACTTCGATGACCCTAAACGCCACTAAGACGCATGACTATCGAGGGCATGGAGCAAGCACAGGACAGACACATATGCTGGAATGAAGATGAGAGTTGCATTTACCTTTAATGTGCTACACACAGAGCACCATTATATTGATTTATTACAGGCTACATTTCAGCTTTTTCTCACATGATAAATGATCAGTGGAATGTGAGGTTATATCGATAATAGATAACTAATGGCCAGCGGTGATCTTTCATGGTTAACCTTTTCTCTGAAAAGATCAAATCCCTTTTACATGCAGCACGTAAAAAGAGAGGATGCTTAGAAAACAGTTATATGGAAATATAAATCAGCTTTTTAACTATTAATTCTCTTCTTAGGTATGCAGGACACTCTGATAAGGTCTCTCATTGCCATTATTCTCCTCTTGCATAGTTTAATTTTGTAGGGAAGCTGCTGGGACCACGGGGAAATTCTATGAAACGATTACAAGAGGAGACAGGAGTGAAGATGTCCATCCTTGGCAAAGGGTCCATGAGAGATAAAGACAAGGTAAGGCGTCTATCGATTGGTGCTGAGATATAGCTGTTTGGCTGATCAAAGAGAAATATTTACAAAGGCAAAGCTCTTGAAATCCTACCAAAAGCACAGTGGAATATTTTAACCAACACCATCTGAGCAGTAACTGAGATGAATAACACCCAGAATAAAATTAATAGCTTTCACTTGACAAACATATGTAGGCGAAAAATGGGAATGTTTTTCTGTGTTGTTTAATAGCATATTCTGTAATCGTCAATTATGAAGGCAAAGTAATGAATCTCTTTGCCAAAGTCATTTATTCTGCTGACATGTGGTCCCCTGGAGCCAAACTTATCCGAGCGTGTACACAGACAGCCTGCTGGATCTGGTATTCACGCTCATAACAGGTCGCACTGTGCTGCTCTAGAGTTACATTGCTATTATTACTGTAGCCTCTGATTCAGACATTCAGACATGACAAAAGACTTTCAGCCTTATCGCCTCTTTGGTGAAACTAGAGCTGCATTTCAATACATCGAGTACATATTGAGGGCAAAACAGTGCAAAGGCTGTTGGAGCAACTTTACAGAGGCTTTAACTGATTTCATTTTTTTACACTTTTTTCCCTCTTTTTTTACAAGACATTTGTTATTTGAATTTACAGCTTTCTTCAGGTTTATTGAACTCGTGTAGCTTATAGCATGCTGCATAAAGTTTGGCTGTCCAACACTGCTGTTTCCTTTCACTGTCAGCATTCCCATAGCTTTGTTTGCAGCTCGCAGTTATGTGCAAAAACAAGTTCTTAAGTGTCTTTGGAGAGCACTTCCTCAGGAACATATAGCAGACAGGCATAGTTAGAGAACAACCTGTGAACATGGAGGAGCACTTAGCAGCAGGGGTTTTCAGCACATACATCACTGTTTAGTTTGGATCACCCACAAAGCAGGACAAGAACACACTACAACGGACAGTCAGGACTGCAGAAAAAAATCACCGGTGTCACCTTGCCCTCCATTCAGGGCTTATAAAAAAAATCCAGAATCAGGAAATGAGCACACCCTGAACACGGCCACCTCCAACTCTTCCCCTCTGATTGGTGCTGCAGAGCACTGAGCACCAAAACAACCAGACGTCTGTACAGTTTCTTTCCACAGGCTGTCACTCTGATCAACACTTAAATCGCTCACATGGTGTCTGTACTAAACAGCCACCATACCTGCTACAAAAGCACGCTGTATATACTGTATGTTGTATATTCTATATACCACATACATACTGTCAAGTCCTCAAAGAAGAACACGTATTGTTATTGTCTGTTTGTCTATTGTGTTAAGTCCAATGAGTGCAGCAAAGAAACGGGAGATCAATTTCTTTTGTGTGTACACAATAAAAGTGATTTGGATTCTGTTGATATTTAACAGAAAGAAAAAAACACGAACTTCAAATAAATGCCACTGGAACAGTAAATGTAATTATGTTTAATTAATTACATATGATTATGTAATTATGTTATCATCAATAACGTAATCGCAGGACCAGAGAGACTTAAACCCCTCAAACAAATCTGTTCTAATGTTCATCTGTGTAAATTATATACAGTCCATTTAATAACTATTCTGATTAAGGTTATCAATACGTGTATTACGCAGCCTTTAGATCATATACTTGCATCTACATACACACAGACTGATACTTAAAATAATTTAAGCATGTCCAGCTGAAGTTATGCTGTGACCCTTAGATTTTCAGTATAGGAGTTTTAGGATGATCTTGATATGTACTTAGCCATGTATGCCCAAACTAAAGAAGCTTCTGTTTTTAGACATGAACAAGTTGGATTTTTTTTTCACACTTTCTTTTAAGATAACACGCAGCAGAAAATAGCCTGTTTCACACAGAGTCCTACCATTTAAAAAAACTCAGTAGTGTGATTTAGACAAGCTGTCAGGATAGAGCGTGCACACGTGATGGTCACCTGCTGGAGATGAATGCACCAGACAGTTAGCTGCTCTATTCGCACATCAGCACAGTCTAACATCACACAGTGTTTTTATTAGAGAGCTGAGAGGCTAACGTCCAGTCTGGCTGCATTAGACGTTATGATTCTCACATGCACCTCGAGTCAGGTAATGTCTAGATATGTTCAGCTCTGCAGTACATGTCTGGAAACAGCATTATTAATACAAGACACATGCAGTTATTAATATTTATTTTACCAAGATCAATATTAATGCTATACATGCAAACACATTTTTTTTAAAAATGGACCAAATAGATTGAGATTATCTGCAGAATAGATGAAATCAGTCATTTTCTGTGTGATAATACCAAATATCAGTTACAGAAAATTTATATAACTGAATAACTGAGACTAAGTAATAAGTGTTTAAACTTTGTATTGTAAATAGAAATTAATACAATAAAAGTGACCTTTTATGGACCTAATGGTGAGATGGAAAGTCTTCCTTTTGAAGGCACTGAGATGAGGATATTTTTTTTGCACCATCTAATTCTTGGATGTACCTTGGCTGGTGCAGGAGTTCATTTACAATTTTGGCTTACTGCCACTAAGTCCATTGAGTTTGCTCATGTGCTACATTAACTTGTCTTTGGTGTGCTAAATTAAGTAAAGAGGCACTAAAATGTTAATAACAGTCAAACTGTCAGCAACATAACAGTTCATTTACCTGCATGCTTTGCTGAGATTGTTATACTGAGCAAGCGGCAATTTTAATGTTCACTATGTCCCCTGCTATGTCGCTGACATGGAAATTCATCTTGAGGAAGACACGTGTTGTTTTTCTAGTCCTTGTCCTTATAAAGTCCCCGGCTGTATTCACCCAGCACACAGGACAATAATAGACTCTTAACAGTTGACTCTTACCAACAATGGCTACATAATGATCTGATTTTGCTTGGTGTTATCTGAGGGGTATTGATTTTGTGTACGGTCTAGGCAAGTCTGAGGCATTCTGTGATGAGACTGGCTCCCAGAGGTCCTGAGTGAAAGGCTGGCAGCCTTTCAAGGCATCTGGCCACAAGGCAGTGTCGAGCAGACGCCGCCAAAGCCCTATTACATTCAAAAGCACATTGCCTACACACATTTCTGCCACCTTATCCAGTTCCACATTTAGAAGCATCAGCCCAGCAGTAGGGTAAGGAGGGTAGGCTGGGAACATTTTCACAAGAGCACCTCTTAAGCTAATATTAAACCATATGCTCAATATTACACTTCGTGTACAAGTAAGAGTTTATGTGGTGCTTAATCATAGAGTTGAAAAGTCCTTATTTCACCTCTCTGGTTCCAGACTATTTCCTGGTAGTCAAGGTTAACACCGCAGGCAGGACAGAATATTGTTTATATACACAACATATAATCCTTACAGCAGTGAACCACACAATAGCTTCAATTAAGCAGGCAGTCACGCTATCTAGCGTTTCAGGGACAAATTACTGTACCAGCTTGCAGACAGATTGGTCTGCCCACATGCATGTTTTGATCAGATACACAATAACCTAGGCTCGCTGACAGAGAAAGTGAAAAATGATGACATCTTGGGAGAAATTTTTAATTAAAGCCGGCTTCTCCCAGAGGGAAGGCATCGGCCCTGTGATGCAAGGACAAAAGTTTGAAGCCCCAGATTGGCTGATAAAGTAAAGTGCATGAGTGGCACTCTCACTTCTCTTAACAGCCACCATCAAGGTGTCCTTGAGAAAAGCACTCAATACCCAACTGTTGCAGCGAAGGATGAATGAAAACAGGTTTAAAAAAAAATCCTTAGTCAGTCTTTATTCTGACATGACTGAATATTCTGTACATTGTTCAGAATGCAGCCGCTGCGTTTGTAACTAGTACAAGTAGAAAAAAGGCCTCACATCACTTCTGATTATTTGTTAAATGTGGAATTGATTTAACGCTCCTTTTAAAACACAGTTACCACTTGCCCCCAGCTATACTGCAGATCTTTTAAGCCGTTAATGTCAGTGTGAAGCCTAAGGCAGGTCTCTGCAGGGCCCGGGTGAAGAATTAAAGGTGCTCCTGTGAACAGAGTCTGGAGGAGTTTTGTGTGGGAGTCTGTATTGAAAACATGTTTACTTCGGTGCACAATGTAAGATTGAGATCAGCGCAGTGTGCCCTATCCAAACGAAACTTTCTCTCCTGAAATTCTTTCTCTTTGCCCTGCATCTTTGCTAAATGTGCAGTGCTGCGTTGCTTTAAAGCAGTGGTTGTTATTATTTCCCTGGCATGACTTTCTCCATAAGCTGACAAAAACTCACTTCCATATCCCACAGCTTTTACCAAATATTAACAATGATAGGGGAAATGACTACTAGAAAAGCATCCAGCTGGAATTCTAGCAAGAATGGAAATCAGTGTGATAGCTTCAGCAAGCATTTGTTCATTTTCCCATTTAACTTAATTTTGATGGATATTTTCCTCTGGCAATCCATTACCTTTCTCTTCCATCTCAGAATATTTATTGAAAGGTTAATGCCTCACCTGTCCACCAGGAGACCTCACTCTGTCTGCCTGCTTAGTACACCTGCTCCTCAACCACCCTGAAATCTGCAATAAACACATAACAAAAAACTGATATCAAAATTAATAATTAATCAAACAGCTCTTTGATAATCCAGCAATTTATGCAGTAGTGCAATTACTATGTGTTAACCCGAAGCTTGTATTGTGCTCTTTCAGTCAAGACCACTACAATAAAAAGACCATTCTTCAACATGAAGTAAATGATATCTGGCGGCATGACTCTGTTCAGGGACCCCCTTCGCGCCTGGCATGTGCAGACGTGGAAAGCATAATGCGGGGAGAGCACACCTCCCCGCCCTTTTCCATCTGCATACACGAGGAGCTTGAGGCAGGGAGAATGATGGGAAGCCCCCGGCACAGAACTGATCAGTGACAATAGATAAGACATAAAAAGCATGAAAAGGAGGAGCTGGGGTGGAGGTGGCGTTCCAAAGCAGTTTACAGATGTGCAGCATCTGTAGGGAGGATAAATGGCGCCTTGATTTATTCAAATTAAACATTTTTATTAAAGATATTAATTTGGTGAATTTCTAAAAAAAAACACACAAAAAACTTCCCTTCCTCTTCTATTTTTTACAGGAAGAAGAATTAAGGAAAAGCGGGGAGGCCAAATACGCCCATCTGAGTAACGATCTGCACGTTTTAATTGAGGTCTTTGCTCCACCTGGAGAGGCCTATTCCCGCATGAGTCACGCCTTGGAGGAGATAAAGAAATTCCTAGTACCAGTAAGTTTAATACTTTACACGATTTTTCTTTGTAATTTTTATTCCTACACCGTCCTGTCCAAACAAGCGCATTTACTGCTGACTTGACCATTTCTTCATCACCCTTATTAGCATGCAGCAGTACTGAGTTTACAGTATCGGGGGTTTGTTTAAATAAGAGGAAGATACGAGCGTGAAGCTTTTCTCTGCATTACAACTACCATTCGACACTACATGCCCTTAGTTACAAATGAAAAATAATGTATTCAGCAATTAAAGTGCAGTATGGAACAACTTCCAAGACTCCAGCAACCTAGCCTGGAGAACTTAGCAATAATTAATGTGCATGTTGTGTACTCTCGCTGAGTTTAAGCTGTAAATATTAATCAAGCTTTGCAAATGTGACAAGTCTAATAGAGGAGCTGTGCTGCATGAGTCTGCTTTATGAAGTTCATGCTTCTTGCTATACTGAACCAATATTCTTGCAAGAATTTTGTCTCGGTGGGCCAGGAGCATGATGATACCGCACTGAACAAAAGCAGCTACTAATGACTTCACAAAGTCTGCCAACAAACAGTAGGGAAGTACCTGATTATAGATCCGCTCCTGATGTTTCTGTGTGCACGCTTTTAGGGAGAATGCTCGAAAACAGTGGTTAAACACTCCATCAGAAGTTAAGCTAAAAGCCAAGAGAATCTATTTATGTGTTTGTTGGCTGGTGAAAGGGAAAACTGATGGGAACAATTTTACCACTTTCAGTTCCTTGGTGCATTCTTGCTGCTCCTAACACAAACTTGTGAACATGTGACTCATTACCAAGTGGTGCAAAACAACCACGAGAACTTGCCCGTGCTGTAAAGTGTTGCATGCAAAGCAATTAGTTGAACCTTTAGCAGCTTATGTTTAAACCTGCTTTTCTAAGCCTTTTCCCCCTTAGTTTCCTATTTTTGCACCTGTGAGAAACTCAGTAATCTCTTCTAAAAAAGGACCCCTCTTACTTTTTTTTAGTAAACTGCATTATTTGATGCTAATCAGTGTGTACACAGGACCAGCCGTGATATAGGACTAGTTGTTTTTTAATATATCCACCCATTCAGAGATTTTAGGTTAGTTATTTTAGATCTTTTGTAAAGATTTGTCTGCAAAATGACCTGGGAAAGAAGCAATTAGCTTTTAATTGCAGTAATCCGAAAATGATTACCGTGGAAGGACATTTTGGGCAGGTGGATGTTAACAAAAATGCTCCTTTAATCCAAAATGAATGCAAGATTAAGAAAACTGTTAAATGTTGCTAGTTAATCAGACATTTCCAACACTAATTTCACGCTGAGTTAGAAAAATAAACCCCGTATTTACTGAAATTTGAAAAAAACACAACGCAGTAAGGTAGGCAACATCAAAATTCAGCTTACACCTTCTCCACATGACAATAAAATCACATTAAAAAAACTTTAGTACCAATTTCAGAGCACATGTCCGCTGCCTCGGGCATATTATTAGGATTTTGCAAATAAACTGCACATAATGCAACACAGCAGGCATCTGTCAGTAGTAGTAGTGACAGATGTTTCACGCCTCAGGTGAGGAGTGGCATATACATGTCCTGCTTTTTTTTTTTTAATTGCTGCATAATGCATTAGGAGCTGCATTGTAAAACATGTTGTCAGAGACGTGCTCTGATAAATCGTGAAAAGCAACATATGGTTACAGGTGTATTTGCGGTGTACTCATGCATATGTGAAAGAAAAGTTGGATGAAGCCTTTGTGGACTCAGAGTGAGCTGAGCAGTGTCTAGTAGCCGAAACCAAGTAAAGAAACCAAGCTTAGCAATGCTGTCTTTAAAGACACAACTATAGTAGAACAGGATGCACAGTGCCAGAGCACTACAAAATGAACTCTAGCAGGCCACTGGTATGAATGCCTCTAACCAAACAAACACAAGCAACTTTCATGAGGGAGGCCAGGGGCCCAGACGTCGTCTAATGAGCTCTGTGCTCACTGCTCAATACTATGGGAGCAGATTGGCCTTTGCCATAAAATACCAGAATTGGCAGGTCCACCACTGGTGCCCTGTGCTTTTCACAGATGAGATCAGATTCACCTTGTGCACACGTGAGAGTCATGAAAGGGCCTGGAGAAGCAATGGAAAACTTTATGTTGTCATTGTTCAGCATGCCCAGTTTTTTGTGGATCAGTGATGGTCTGGGGAGGCACATCCATGGAGAGATCCACAGACCGCTACAGGCTAGGCAACGGCACCCTGACTGTTGTCAGGGACCTATTGTCAGACCATATGCTGGTGCTATAGTTGCTGGGTTCTTCCTAATGCCAGAGTATCCAGGCAGTTCCTGGAGAATGAAGGAATTATACCATTGATTGTGCCTGCCTAACATGAATCCAATAGTACAAATCTGGAACATTATGTTTCCGTCCAACCAACATTGCCAGGTTGTGCATCAGACTATCTGGAAGCTCAGTGATGCTGTGGTCCAGATCTGGTAGAAGATCAAAGGACCACATCATTAGGAACATGCCCACGCACTGTCAGGCATCCATACAAGCACGTGGGGGGGGCACACAAACTACTGAGTATTATTTTGAGTTGCTGCAATGAAATTTCCTTCTATAGGTTAATACATCATATTTCTATCAAATGATGCAGCATCCTTCTGTTTCTAACACATCCCACCCCATATCATTATAGCACCAGCATGTTTTTTCCCATTGAGATCTGATGTGTTTTCAAAATGTTCCTTTAATTTTTTTTCCTTTTTTGAAAAAAAAGCCCTAAAATATCCATCTCCTTAAGAAACTTGGCAGCTGAAAAATGGGAAAAAAAGAAAAACCCCAAAGCCACAACAGTCTCTCAAGAGCACACTCCCGGCAGTATAGCAGAAGTTTACTCGGTCCTTCTCATCTTCACTTGTCTCTTTGGTCTCTCTTTGCCGAGTCTCCTGCTATTGCCAGAGCTCACTCCTTCTCTGTGCCAGGCATTCATCCCAAGAAAACAACTCCATGGCCTCCCAGCCCTGGGTGCCTTTGCCCATCTTTTTTTCCTTGCTTTGTTGTGGCGCTTTCCTGTCTCCATTTTTAAACATGGTTGACAGGGCAAGTGTGCCTCATTGCATTCATTTGGTAGATGCTGGAAGGACGTTAGACAACCCCCCAAAAAGTTTCAGAAAACATACAAATATCATACCAAAATAAAAAAATGAAAACTATAAAATAATAAAATCTATTAGCAGTAAAATATTACGATGTGGCACCAGGTGACACATTAACCAAAACTTGCATCACAGGTTTCTTGGATTGGTTGTTAGTATAATTAACTACATAGGGACCCATGCTGAATGTCAAATTACTGTAAAGAAAGATCAAACTTGTTTTTCGCACCCTTCTTCTTTCTGCTCTGATTGACTCTCTGTTGGAGCTGGCCTCAAGTGGCCATTTGAGGAACTGCAGTTTATTGCAGGGGTCAGGTTCCATACTGTTTTATACTTGACACTGACTATTTTGTAAGAGCCTAATTATATTCAGCTACTCTTTTAATATGTTCAAAACAGAGGTTTCTTTTCAGCTCAATAGGAAATGTAGAGCGTAGCTCATACAGAAGTTGATCATCCTGCCACAAACATGCTCGATTTGAATCAGAGCTCCCCCGTGGAAACCTACCACTGACTCCCGCTGGCATTTTGCTGGATTATGCTTCATAAACCAACATGATGCAGCAGGCAGAGTCACAGAGATGTGTAGCTGTCTACCACAATGCCACATGCGTGCTATGGTCACTTTTAATTAGACATTAGCATCAGTTGATCATTTGTTGTCCATCAGAAACAGAGCACATACAACTAGATCTGAATTTTGTCAGAAGCTGGTACAGAAAGCTTACCAGGACTTACAATGAAGCAGAATTGCAAATCAGAAATCAGTCCTGTTAGCTCACAATTTATGCATCTAAAAAGAAAAGAAAAGCCTAATCAGTGCGTTACTGTAAAGACAGACGCTTGTGAGGCCTTCATCTTGGGCCAAACTGCAATGGAAGCATTTTGGCAGATAGCCGGTGACACAGATACTTTAATGAGATATACACTGCTTATTTGTTTTTCCATAAAGTCAAACAAAATTAAAACTGCTGTAAAAACTGACCCAGGTGTGCTTGGGTTTACTCATACTGCACTATCCTAATTATTTGGCCCAGACGTCCTGGGTGAGGAAGCTTAGAGACCACCTAAAAAATTGGTCAGGGATGCAGAGTTAAATATTCTGCATTATTATCTCCATAATAGAGCCAGACTGTGCACAGCTAATTGCTGTTTGTGTTGAGCTAACTTTGAAAGAACTTGTAATGTGAAAGAACTTTAAAAAAAAAGATGCATTAGTTAGAATTTGATTCTTTAATAGAGCTTATCATTGTATTATATACAACTGGTGTGCAAAAAATATGAAGTCTTTTATCTAGTACAGAGGACAAGATATGTCTGAGCACTTTTCCTGAGGCAGTCTATTCCCCACTCTTTGTTAGATACACCTTTCAGCCGCTTGGTAATGCAAGTGTCTAACCAGCCAGTAACATGGGAACAAGTCAAAGCATTTAGTCATGTGAACATTGGCAAGACAAGCTGCCAACTTTCAAACTGAGCATCGGAATGGGGAAGAAAGGTGACTTTGAATGTGACATGGTTGTTTATCAAACCAGTCAAAATATTGCCTGGTTTAATGAGTTTCAATTTCTGCTGCAGCATTTGGATGGTGAGGTCAGAATTTTGTGCAAACAACATGATCCATCCTGCCCTGTATCAACAGTTCAGATTATACTCGAGGATATATGGGAGGGATAATTCACTGGCGCACTTTGGGCTCCTCAGTACCACCTGAATATAATTCAAATGCCACACCATACCTGACTATGTCCATGCCCTTATGACCACAGTGCACCCATCTTCTGAGTCTTAGTATAACTAAGTGTTAATAGGAAAATTGTACTTAGTAGTCAGTATAATCTTTTAATGATATAAGTTTGCATATGGTAGAATACTGCATGTAATCATTTGTGTGTAGAAGTATATAGTTGGTGGCATATTGAAAGAATGTCTCATCCTAGGAGGTCTGTAACATTCCAGGGTGTTCACCCCCACATCCTAGGAGCATGGGAGAGGTCGTACCTTGTCTTATTGTTTTACGGTAGGATTAACGTAGCTATGTCAGTTTTAGTCTAAGTGCCTTCTTTACATATAGATGAACTGTTGGATTTTCCAGACCAGCAGGTTAAGGGAAGTTGTTTATGGGGTCACACACACACACACACGTACACCTCCACATTCCAATGTAAGGAACAAACGCTCACTGAAGTATAAATAAAGACCGGGGCAGTTTCTCAGCGCGAGTCTCAGTTCTGGAGACCACCCTTGCTAGCAAGAAGTTCTGTGTGTTTCTCTTCTCTGAGTCTTTACTGAAGAAGTGTTTTAGAATATATTTCTTAACACTAAGTCAAGTTGCTTCCAGCAGGTTAACACACCATGTCACAAAGCTTAAATAATCTCAAACTGGTTTCTTAAACATCTCAGGGGGTTCACTGTACTCAAATGGCTTCCACAGTCACCAGATCTCAGTTCAACAAAGCACGTTTGGGATGTGGTGGAACAGAAGATTCACATCATGAATGTGGAGTTGATAAATCTGCATGTTTTTATCACGTCAAGATGAACCAACATCACAGGAACGTTTCTAGCACCGTTTTGAATCTATACCACAAAGAATGAAGGCAGTTCTGAGGGTCCAGCCTGGTACTGGCATAGTTTACCTGATGCATAGCACCAACATTTAAACATAGATTTTGTTAACACCTTCAAATTCAAATACATACATTCACACTGCCAGACATTTCTACGAATCTAGTGAGTCTCTGAGTACACAGCTTTTTGATTCTTCAAACACAATAATAGCACTAATAGCACGACTCTACCCCTTAAATGCATTATGTTGGGAAACAAAACAATCTTATATAATCACTGTAATCCAACAAATGTCACACGATTTATTCAAAAGCTAAGACTGATCCATTTTCTTTGGTTTGTTCATGTCTTTTAATATGATGTTTTTGTTGGATAAATGTATTTACCTTGTTCAATACTGCCGCAGGTGTCAAAGGTGATCTGACATGACAGCGTCACTTATAATAAAGCTGATGATTGAAGAATGCCAAATTAACTTGACTTGTTATTTTCTGGCCACAGAGACAAATAGCTGGCAGACGCAAACATCACAATGATTGGTAACGCTGCACTTCATGCGTTGACCTCTTTAAGTCTAACTTAAGCTCTGTGAAGGGCATTGCATGTGTACAAGGTCATGCATGGTCAGAATTAATCACAGTGAGCAAACAATCTGGCTCGAGAAGCCTCAGCTTGGGCTTTATCTCTGTATACTCATGTTAACACCTTTGTCAACAGTCTACTTTCACAAGCTCTGGCAGGTTTGTTGAGCTTTGAATGAGCTGCCAGATTTCTTATTAAGAGCTCTGCCAGTCTCCTTGAATTAAACAGAATGCTGTAGGCCTTATTTGTTCATTATAAGAACGTGCACAGGCTGTCACATGTCCACCACCATGGTTTCATTTTCTTCTTTCACGGTATGTTGGTGTCAGTGTTTTCAGTCTTTATAATCTGTTCATCATATGGCCTGTGCATGACACACAGCCTGTTACTGTAAATGAAGACATGTCTGACATGCTGCAGTTTAATGAATGCTCAGTTTTGCTGCAACAGTATCGAATGTGTTCACATTCACCGAATCAAGGTTGCTCACTATAACAATGATAAAAATTTCTCTTTTTTTCCACCTCAAAATCATGCTCCATTAACTTCTTAAGAAACAGTGAAGGTCAGACATGTAAAGAAGGAGAAGACAATTTAAGTAGAGAGACACTAACCTCTTGTTTTTAGATATTCTTTCTACGGTTTGAAAAATGAACAGTGTGTGCTGCAAATCCTTCGACAATATGTGGCTGAAAAATTTGATCCTGAGGAAAATTATGAATAAATTAAAGAAGAGCGTGATTGCAGATTTGTCTGCTAAAACTGACGACTGATAACAAGTCTGCAAAAAGGGTTACATTTCACACATTTAGACAGTTAATGAGTTCAGATTTTTTTGTGTTCACACAGAATTACTTTAATCTAATAATAAGCTTTTGTTGAAGATCTGATTACATTCAGTCCTAACTATGCAAATCACAGAGTGGGTAAATGATGTCTTGTAATATCCTCATGACTAAATGTGATGTGATCCATAAGCCTGGCCTGTAGGTAGGAAAGGACTAAACTCCACGTCAGGGGTATTGAACCTGTGCCTCTGGCTCCTTTGTCCACCCGCCCATGACAAAAAAAAACAGATGACTTTGAAAATAGAAATAAAAAATTGCATTTTTAAATCATTTTTGTGTGGTTCACAGGTGGACCATGAAAAGTTATAGTATTCATAAATAGTCCAGTGCAGAGTGATCACATGTGGTAAGAGTTTTGATCATTTACACGATTATTAGTGATAAAAGTGATAAAAGGCTAAAAAAAATATCTGCCCATGATTTTCATTTATTAAGTGAAAAAAACCTGCCTGGCCCTATTTCAAAAATTGATTGTCCCCTAAACATAATAACTGCTGATGCCACCCTTGGCAGCAAAAACTGTAATCAAGCATGTGATAACTGGCGATGAGTCACATTATTGTGGAGGAATTTTGGCCCACTCTTCTTTGCCAAATTGCTTTAATTCAGCCACATTTAGGGCTTTCCAACATTAGGAGCCTGTTTACGGTCATACCAGAGCATCTCAATGTGATTTGAGTCTGAAATTTGTCTAAGCCACTCAAAAAAACTTAATTCTGGTTTTGTTTTTGAAATTTTTTGGTTCATTGTCCAGTTGCATAACCCAAGTGAGCTTGAGCTTCAGGTACAAACTGGTAGACCGACATTCTCCTTCAGGAGTAGAGAGCAGAATTCATGGTTCCATCACCAAGCAGCAAAGCAGCCCCAGACACTACCATCACACTACCACAGAGGTTTTTTTTAATGAAAAGCTCTGTTAGTTTTGCAGCAGATGTAACGGGTCTAAAACCTCCCAAAGAAATTCAGCTTTTATCTCATCAGTACACAGAACATTTTCACCAAAGTCTTGGGGAACATCAAGATGTTTTTTGGCAAATGTGAGCCTTTGTGTCCTTTTTGGTCAGCAGTGGTTTTCTCCTTAGAACTCTCCCATAGATGCCATTTATGCCCAATCAGTTTCTTATTGTTGAGGAAAAGAGGCCTGCAGCTCTTTAGATGCTTTTCACTGCTCTTTTGTGACCTCCTGGATGAGTCATTGAAGCGCTCTTGGAGTATTTTTGGCAGACCCACCAATCCTAGGAAGGTTCACCACTGTTTTCTCCATCTGTGGATAATTGTTCTCACCATTGTTCACTTGAGTCCCAAAACCTTAGAAAAGGATTGTAACCTTTTACGGACTGATAGATGTCAATGCATTTGTTTCTAAGCCTGTTCTTAAGGGTTTTTTAAATCATGACATGATGTGTTGCTTTTTGAGGACTTTAAGCCTACTTCACTTTGTCAGACAAATTGCATCCCTTCCCTTCTCTTTATCAAGGAGAAGGGAAGGGATGCAATTTCCTTTTTACACAGGGCCACATAAATTTGAACATCTTTTTCCCCCCTTAATAAATAAAATCATGATTTAAAACGTGGATTTTGTTTTTATTCGGGTTATCAGTGTCTAATATTAAAATTTGTTGGAATGTGAAGTGTGACAAATGTGCACACAGAATAATTCTGTATGGTGTCCATACAATGGACACCACAAATTGGCTCTTTCATGAGTAAAAGTTGAAATTGCTGCTCATAGTAACATATATTGGGTTTTTATGTTTGTTCGAGAGGACGTATTTTTCTTGGGGCTCTCCTTTTAGTCTGTGACACCAGATCATGCAGTCGTAATGTGCTGTCATAAGCAGTGACAGCCAAAGAAATCTGTTGCTGCCTTGGTGTCATTATAGAAACATTTCGCCCATGGTATTGAATCCCGTGGACTCGGTTTAAGTGTTTCGTAAAAAAAATAAACCCCCACGCTTGTTTATCTGTCACCAGTGACAAGATAATGAAGGCTGTTTTGTCCACTCCCTTATCTGCTGTGTAGCGATCCATATCATGTTGATAGCGGGCTGAGAAAAATGGTTCAGAATCGCAAGATAGCGATATTCCACGCAAAGTTGTTGAAAGTGTCAATTACAGTCTGTGTGCAGACAAATCAAGGGCTATTTTTGTATTGCATTAAAGTGAGAAAAATATTTGTCTGATTTAATTTCCCATTTCTGTTCTCCTCAGCCAACATCAAGATAAATCTTGCCCTCAATTTTTTTTGGTTAGACACCTTTTCTTTTTTAAGGCCATCTGGGAAGTTAACACTAGTCTTCGAAACCTAAACAGGAAAATAGTTTTTCTTCTTTCCCCAACAAACCCGCGGCTCGTTTGAGAAATATTTATTGCCTTTTTCTCCACCACTAATCTTTCCTCTGCGTTTTGAGTCAAACCATAACCAAAAGATTCTTCACTGGCTAGTCACCGCTCAGCAAAGCCACAAGCTCCCCTTGGGTGTCGAGATAATTTTAATTTGATGACATTTGCTGCTGTTGCAAGCATCTGTTGCAGTCAGAAGACAAATGACCTTCTCTGTTTTGTTTTCTTACGAGACGTGCTGCATTTTGTTTCCACAGGATTACAATGACGAGATCAGGCAGGAACAACTCCGAGAGTTATCCCTGTTGAACGGCTCTGACGAATCAAGCAGAGGGAGGAGTGTTCAAGGGAGGTGTCTACGACCAACAACCGCAATAACCACAAGGTAAAGTTTTAATTACACTCACAAGCACACATAAATACATAATATTCATACAGACACTTCTCATCCTAATTATTAGTTTATTTAAATTATTTTTTATTTTTGGTGTTTTATCCTTTTTACTGGTGTGTTTCTTGTGTGATATTTAAAACCATTTCATTTTATTTCTACTCTTTTATGAATTCACTTGCTTACATCTGTGCAAAAGCCAAACTCACATTTCATTTCTTTATATTCTGAACTGCATTTTTTTAAGTCTTCTTAAACTATACTTTTATGTTTGAAGGTCTTTCCGAGTTTTTCCTTTGGACACTGGCTGGTTTATTACCAGTTTTTAAGCGCAGTCTTTGTACTTGACCACTTGTTTGTTAGGCCACTTAATACTGACCTATGGAGCATTCAAGCATAAAAAAATCACCCAAACCAGTCTCATGTTTACACAAGAAACAATTCTAAATTGCTTCAGGCACTTTTTACTTTGTAACTTCTTGGCTGCTGCTAAAACTTCTTTAGCTGAAGTATCCAAAAATACTTGAATTTACCATGAATGGCATAAAATAGTATTTTTGTACCAACAAAGTGATTCCTAAAGAGCTTGTTGCTGAAAACTTGGTATATCTACAGCAACAGTATCTCAAAGTCATGTCTTGAAGAAATAGCAAAAAATCCAGCAAAGATGGAATACAGGACCTGAAATATGCGTCTACTGTTCGCTGAAACCTCATTAGAAGTCATCACCATGGAAGCACAGCTGTCAAAAAGCCATTCTTAAACAAGGGAAACAGGAAGAAAAGGCTGAGGTATGAAAAATTACACAACAACTGATTTTAAAATCAGCAGCAAAAAGGTCTTTTGGTACTCCATATTCCATATCTATAGTCTATATTCTTCTGTAAAACATGACAGGGGCTCTGTCATGGTTTAAGGCTGGTTTAAGAAAAACAAGATCTCTCATGTCTAATAGTCAATGCAATAAAAATGTGTAATTTTATGCATTTGCAGGTAATCCAGAGCCTAGCACCTAACCTGCTCTGAATGACAAAAAAAATGTGTTAAAAAATAACAATGAGGCACCCACCTTCATGGTGAATTTTGACATTAATTGGTTCACCTGTACATGTTTCTGTATTTTATGCAAACCAGTTGTGAGTATTCCTAATCATATTGTATTTAATATTTTTTAATGGTTTCTTTTCATTTTTTTTAAATTTAAAATGTGACTTGTTTTCCGCGTAACTCCTGTAGGCCAGCCTATGCAGAAACAATAAATGCTACAGAGCATTTCATTGGATCAGACGTTCACGCATCCCTCTATAAGTCTCCTTTTGAGTTATTTATTTATCTAATTGTTGAGCAAACTGACCTTAATCTATGTGAGCTATGGAAGTCCCTCTGGAATGACCAGGTAGAGTGTGCCATGAAAGCCTGGCCTATTTCTGGCAGCACATCCATATGAGCAAAATCCACCAGCAACATTGGGACGCTCCCAATTCACCACCAGTACCACCACTTTCTTTTCCAGATTTTCCCCTTATGCTGCAATGATAAGCGATTTTTGTAAATCTCCATTAAAAATATGCACCAATAATTCCCATTTGAGTGTCTGTATTTTTGGATCACAATAGGTTGCCAGCTAGTGAAGAATAAGCTGGAGGAAGACAAATTGCCATACCCTAGCTGTATCATGCTGTAAAAATGTAAGTTAGCAGAAAATAGGCATCCTTGCAATGTTAAATCCTCCCTGCAGTCCCTACACCGAGCATGAAGTCGAGCTGCTGGATAGTCAGACTTTTATATAAAGAAACAACCTACCTTAAATTCCTCATGTCTGCCCCAGCCCTTTGGCCCTTGCTCTCCACCGGTGCATGTCAAGTAACAACTTGCTGTATTTGAAAACTATACCTGTCCGCCTGCAGCCTGACATTAATCAGCGGTTTCAGGCAGATGTGTTATCGTGCAAACGGAGACATGACATCGCTCTGTCACATTTTTGAAATAACCATGTTGCATCCCACAGGCATGTTTGCAGAGCAGACAAAACACAAAGTGACACTCGTCACCCTTCTGATCATAACAAGATCTACCCCAGTGCTGTGTTTATCTTATGTTTCACCTGAGCACAGTGTAAGGCAACCACCAGCTGTGGCAGCGTGGACGTATGCAGCACTAAAAAGGATTTAAATATAGTTTGAGGGTTTTTTTTTTTCTTCTTAATTCCACTTTCCCACTTAATTTACTTTGGCTTATTTATGAGTGTTGCACAGCAAGGTTCTTAGGGCAATGTTGAGGCCATGTTTGTTTGCTTTTTTTGCTTTACCAGGGGCCACAGAGGCGCGGGAAGGAGCGCGGCAACACCTCGGGGGACAGCGACGGCAGCACACAGCAAACTTCCCACGACAGTTTTGACGAGGGAGGTACAAGTCCCGAGAGCCAGAGGGGCAGCAGCAGCAAGTGTCGGATACAGGCCCCCGCTGTTAGCAGTCACACATGAATCATATGACGACTATGTAAGTCCAATCCTCTTTGCACACACTGAAAAGTATAGCTGATAGTAATTTTACTTGAAGTGTGTGTAAATCAGACTTGATTTACTTCCCTTTCATGTAATCTGGATGATTCGTGCTTTACATGGAAAGGTAGGGCATTCTGGGACATCTTTAAAAAGTAGGACAAGCAAGTATTACATTGTATATTTGCCTATTTTAAATGTTAAAAACTTGCAGAAGCGTATAATGATGGTTTTGGATCATTGAGTTCGACATAGTTGCAGGCAGTGATCGGTTTCCCTTTATCTCATCCCTTTAAAAGCACAACATATTTTCCAAACTTATGATAACTAATGATCATTTGTCACACTAACTTAATAAAATGTTTGTTTGTTTTTTGTGTTCAAAGTAAGATTAACCTGTAATCAAAGTTTTCAAAGAAAAGGAGGCAAGAACCTGAAGACATATTGCTTGTTTTTCACCGTTGCCTCAGTTCTGCCACACAGGCAAGTCATGCTTTGACCTGACCCAAAAAAAAAGCCTTAAATCGAGTATCTTTAACTGTGTAGCCTGATTTATTTTTGGCTGGCTCGGGTTAAGCCATCATAGACTGTGCTGAGGTTTGATATGTCTCAGCTTTAAGCTCTGTTTATAGTGACAAACCTTCATCCTCGCACCCAGACACTATTTTTGACTGCTGTGCACAACTTTTTAATATGGTAATTTGTGTGTTTATTCCTTACCCTGTTTTTAATTTGATGTATTTATTTATTTATTTGTTATGAGATATTTTTCAAAAAAAGAATTCTGAAAGCATTATCGGCCCTCTTTGAAAGCCACTGTATTAGATAAGTATTTTTGCACCACTTGCACATACATTTATGCTAACTACAGACTGTTTGAGGAACAGCCCAGTTTAGGTAGTGTAGTATCCCAAGTTTCCATGTACATCCATGCAGGTGAGGAATCTGACCTGGAATCTGAGAAATGATTAGCAAACAGACCAGCTTACATATTGTTTAATGACACATATGGAAAACACAGGCTATTTGAAAATAATTACTGGTGTTATTGGTTTGGAGTTTAATTAAAAAAACATTCATGTGAGCTATGGGAACTCTCTTTGTCTCCTTAACCCTGTGTCATATTAGACACGTGAGTTTTTGTGCATCAGCAGTGTGATATTTGGCTGTTTTTGCCCCGAAAAACCCTGAACAAGCAAAACCAGCACATTTAATGCAATAAATATAGCAAACATGATATAAATAAAACACTAAATAATTTTTTTTTATTTGCCCTAAGGTCCAATAAACACTCCACTTTTTAAAAAATTCTAATTTTCTGACAATTATTTAACGGTTCAGGCTTTGCACACCGTAAAAAAAAAAAAATCCTAAAAAAACAGTAATATTCCGGCAGCTGGGATGCCAAAATAATACCAGAAAATAACTTTCCCATGAAAATACGGTTATTTTCAGTAATGACAATATAGTTTGTTGCCCTAATTTTACATGGGATTTTGCCTTTTTCAAGTGCTTTTAAACATTAAATTGGGAACTATTTAATGTGATTAAACAATGAAACTACCTATAAAAAAGGTCAATGAATGTGGCAATATGAATAATAATATTTAAATGTACAGAAATATACAGTTAACAGTTGGTTTAAATAACAATGGATTGCATTCATATAGCACTTTATGAAACCCTCAAAGCGCTTTACAATTCCACTTTATAATTCCCCTCAGGGTATCACCATTAGGTGGTAGGTGACGTGTCTTGCCCAAGGACACAACGACCGAGAGTGTCCGAGCCGGGACCCGAACCGGCAACCTTCTGATTACAAGGCGAACTCCCAACTCTTGAGCCACGATCACCCTAACTAACAATAATGATAATCATTGTAAAAAAAGTTTATACGAATCATTTTATATATTTTTCCATAGCATTACATTTGGATTTAACAGTTCAATCTTTCAAATAACGGACAAATATTTGTGAAATTATGATGCATTTGTGAATGTATTTTAACAATCTAAATATGCATATGTATAGACAGTAGGGCTGCCACAAACGATTATTTTGATAGTTGACTAGTCACCGATTACTTTTGCATTAGTCGACTAATCAGATCATGCATCCATTAGACGTACAGCATACATCTGCTCTTATATAACTATCATTAGCTTACAGCTTTAAGTGTTTAAGGTGCTAACTAAAAATAAAGACAAGATGATAGTTTATTAAATTTTAATGAAATTTGCAGATTGTTTAGGTGAAGTTTAATAAACTCAGCCATCTGCTCGTTGCTATCTAAAAGAAAAACAGCACACCGGAGTATATTCTCGAGCATCTCACACTTCTGATGATCAGTTGCCTGGTGACGTTTATTCAGCTGTGTAAAAACTATAACTTTAATCTCAGCCAAACCGACTTACTCAGGAACAAATAAAATACTAAAAAAAAGGCCAAACAATAACATTGTTAAGTTATCTAAGTGACTTATATATGTTTAACCTGAGTAGCGAAAGACGGCGGTGGGTGTTCTCACGGGCTCTAGTGAGCCTTGCCCCCGGCTAGCTATCGAGCTAGTGGGTAACAGACGTCTCGGAAAACGTCGGAGCGCTTTTGAAAATATGTGGTGACTTGATAAACTGAGCAGATATTTGAGGTTTACACAGCTACATTCTCGCCTGAAAATATGTTAAA